GCATCCGCCATATAAACCCAGCACAGGTTATCCCATATGCATATGCATGGGTAAATACGTGTGTAAAAATTTCGTAAACGTAACGTTACATGTATATGCAGTGTATTTACAGTGTATATACATATACATATATACTCTGTTACAATATATAGCAAAACACACGGATTCCAACCCAACGGATTTGTCCACGTCGTGACACGTACTGGCGATTCTTCTCGTTGGCGTCGCTAGTCATTTCGAGCGTCGCACATAAAACAGGACGAGGGATGCCTTTTTTTCTTCTTTACCACTTTGTCTGTTTCCGGTCATTTTATTATTTGAATTATCGTGGCACCGTCCCCGCGACAGATATTAAATGCCTGGACCTGAACTTACGTCTCCCGTGTTAATTCTTCATTATTACTCCTTCACCCTTGTTTCACGTGTATTTAATTATTTTTCTATTTAATCGCAATTGAGTGCAAAAAATTTATCAGGTAACACTCAGTCACCGAGAAAACGTATTAATTTTAAATAATTAATTTTACACATAAAAATAATTAACACCCATACAAAATGCAGCAAATGCGTATCAAGTTATTACGCAGACCAAACGAAAAAAAAAAATAATAATAAAATTTTGCCGTATCATAATTGTTAGCGAACGTCATAAAAAGTCTACGAACGTTCGGGTCCAAAATAAATAGACATTAACGTCGATAACGACGCGACGAGGAAGTGTAAAAAGAATGTTCGATGCAGTGACAATTGATGATAAAACTATTTTTAAAAAAAGGTAAAAATAAAAAAAGCATAAAACTGCCCACCAGACTAAGGTAAATTGTAGAAGGCACTCGGTACAGGAGCGATTTCGCGACAGCGGGTAAAACTATAAGAACCTTCCTGAAAGGGAAGATCCTGACCCTGGAGGTCCCGAGGATATATAGAGGTCGATCTGTTTTACCAGCGATAACCTTTACGAGGCTTCACCACCGAGGGATCCATTACTTGTGGCCTCCCGGGAGGATTGGGAGGGGGTGCGGTTCGCCTGATTATTTTTTATTAAATTCTCCGACCCCTCGAGCGACAATGAAGAATGCCGCAACGAAATTTGAAAAATTATCCTTCTACGAAGAGTGCGCGCCCTTTGATCCCGTTCGCGAAGAATTAACGTGGCCGCCGATTAGATACACGTCAGTATATCGCAATGGATGAACATCCCTAATAAACCGTGTAAGGATCCAATGTACGAACTTTGTATTTCCTCCCTACATAACATCGATATCGTCAGAATTGTCGAGTCTGGTGCTTCCCCTGCCTCCTAGCATCATTGCTAACGACAGCGCGTTATTGCCAAGCGACATGTACATGAAAGAGTAGCGCGGATTTTTCCAGATAAAAATCGTTGGGGCATTCTCGCGCAAGGGTGGATACGCCGGGGGTTGTTGGCCGAAGCGACGGTCTCCCTTATCGGAGGAATGACGTAATAGAGTGGATCCCTCGAGTGCAGAATATCTGTACAGAGAAGCCAGACTACCCCTATTGTGTATCGTTGGGGAGCTGTGGGTATCTCGTGAGCACGTAAGGGTTGTCGTGGATGGACGGACCCACCCTTAGAGCAAAGTGCTGCGACAAGTAGGTTTTGCCATTGTACGAGCTAAGTGCCACGTAGCAGGATACCTTTGTCGCACACCTGACGTACCTTCGGGGAGGTTAGCTGGCGCCAGCTTGCGAGTATCTGTAACGGCGTAAAGGTTGGAAGTCAAGATTACCAGGGTGACGTAATTAATTTCATTGTCAACTTATCATCTGGCGGTTAAGTTGGAACCAGGTTAAGTTAGGTTGGGTTAAATGTACTGGATAGAGGTATCTGTGTGTATTTGGTTGCTTGATATATCACATGTAGTGTTATCCTCGAGGGTTCATTTGGCTTGAATGGGTTACATCACCAGGAAAAGCCACACTAGGTATACCTGGCACGAAACAGTTGGCACACGTGGAAGTGATTATACGCTAAACGCGAAAGCTCGTTTTTCGGCACTGAGAGGGACAGGGACGTTAATAAGGAGGAAACGACTAATCCTCGATGAAAACTTGGCTTTGGTACGGCCCTGCCAGTCCTTTGTTCCTCTCAGTCCCTCTGGCTTTTCATCCGTAATACTCCAACTTTATTCCTCGTGGAACCCTCTCTTTCGCTTCCGCGTGACATACGAACTCGTCCGAAGACACTCGAACCCTGCCGACGATCGACGAGCGAATTTCAATGAGCTTTGAATATTTCATCTAACCTTAATGTTATAGGCGAGAATATCGTACGCGGCTGTTTTATGGATTTTCGTAAAATTCTATCGAACAAGTATGTAGGTACCTATTAGATCCGGTACTCGCGTCTTTGGTGTACCTATGTACCAATATTCTATTAGTTACCAGTGCAAAAACTTCATATGCGTCTAATGCCTTTTTCATTTTTCAGCAACTTTAAATGCTCTGGATGGAATTGACGTTAATCATGGTACCTGGTCAATTAACTTCTGCGAGTAATTAATGACTCGTTTAAACTTGGCCGGCTAACCTCGACGTGGCAAACGAACTACGGATTTAAGCTGGTCTTGCATGTTTAACGCGACGATTTCGTGTAGCGAATTGCAGCTGTCACTTTGATTGAATAAGAACTTCTTGTTCTGTCTTTTATTATTATTTTTTATTTTAACTTCGCTTATCTTTACTTAAACTGTATGAGTATCAACTTAAGGAGTTTATTAGATACCTTATTGAGTTTCTTAGGAAATAAGTAAAAACTAATAGAATCGTCATTCTCTCTCTCTCTCTCTCTCTCTCTCTCTCTCTCTCTCTCTCTCTCTCTCTCCTTTAATCTCAGCAGTCCTATTTACTTCAACATTGGCTTTAACGACCCAGAGAATACCATTGAAACAACTTCATTTCCTCCATATTCAGCAATTTCCGGTTACTTCAGTAGCTGCCTGCGTCTCCCCTGTTGCTGGAGCCCCGGGAGAAGATCAAAATATCACCTTATCGCTAAAAGAGCTAGAAGATCCGTGTTGACGAAAATACATATTGAAAAATTTACACACAGATCTCCATACGATCTCGTTATAACATATTCGGTTTATATTCCGTTATAAAATTTTCTTGGATCTCGAGAAAATTGGCAGAAAATGAAAACTGACATACGCAACTGAGAAAACTATCAGTTTACCCAAGAATTTGAATCCACTTGTTAGCCCGACTCTAATAGGCCATTACCTACTGATATCATATACCAGAACGGTATTAGTTTACATAGGAACGACCTAACCTACAAAAATAAAATAAATACAGCCAAGTAATTTCAAAGCGTACTAGAATATATTCCAAAGGAAAGACTGTCAGGATTTTGAGTAATTAAACGATGATTGTTTTAGAAATTTCATTACCCCTCTTATGACTTATATCACATACATATGTATATAACATAATAAGACTATTAAGACTGACATCAGGCAAGTGAATGGAAGTTAGTGGGATAAGAGGGGAGCGTAGCAGAGATTATGTGTGGGATTAGAATTAAGGTCAAAGTCAAGTAATTTAAGGGCAACGGATAAGGGTGTTAAAGTTACCCCTGTTTCCATTCCTGCGAAAGGGTATGCTTAGGTAGGAGAATATGGAGCCTAAAAAGGATGGGTATGTTTTTATTAGAATTACCGTGTTCGAGGGTGCAGGGCTCGAACTACGTAATACTATTAAGCACGTTGGTTCCTCCCCTCAAACTTTCCAAAACTCAATCCCATAGTTTCTTCCGCCAACTACCTACATTCCAGGCTTCCTTTGCCGGGCTTTGGCGTTTCTCTTTGGCTTAGCTATCTACATAGTTACGAAGGTATCGCATGACTAAGGGGCAGCCCACACAGAAAGCTGAATCTAGGTATATCAACCTATCCAAGAAAGCACCCCTGGTTACATAGAGTTCAGATTTTATTTTCATTCCCGTCACCTCGGGATGCATCGTGCGTCCCGAGACTTGGCGGTAAATCGAACCGCTCGCTGACAAATTCGTCTCAGAATTGAATTTCATCCTTCTTGTGTGGCCCACTCCCTGAGCGATCGCTACGTTTCCGTCGATACCCCTTTTTTGGTCTAACAACGTACAGGCATCCCTTTCTTCGTTGTTACGGCGAGAAAAAAAAAGCAGCTCCCACCAGATCAAATAAATTCTACAGATTGAATCAGAGAGCGAGAAATATATAGAGAGCGGTTCAGTCAGAGGGATTTCGACCCTTCGTTCCTGTTAAAAGGACTGTTTAGGGCTACCATATCCCAAGGGGAACTCTCTCAGGGGTGGAATGCACGACAACGTTGGGCGTCGTACCGTGAGGACCCCCCGCCTACGATAATGAGATTTTACCCTCCCGAATAAATCCTCATCCGACTGGCTCCTGGCAATTTCCAAAAACTGATGGCAAAAGTCTTCGTATTCTACAGGCTAAATATTACTTCATTCCTCGTGGTTGCCAAAACGCTACCGGCGATGATTCTTCAATAAGACACGTTGAACGACGATATCCGGAAGTCGAGTTCTTGATCGATTCTGGTAGACAATTACAAAAAAAAAAGCTCTTAACTGGGTGACAAAGGCTCGCCAGTTCCAGGAAATCCTCAACCCTTACTTTCGCTCGCTCTCCTTTTTTCTTCCTGGTTTTCCGATTTCCTCATTTTCACCAACATCCCCGCAGCTCTTATGATTAATGGTGAGATCAATCGAGCCACTATAGGGGTAGCAACATATAGGCACCACCGTCCCCTTTGGTATCCTCAAAATGTCCGACACCCGTCTATAGTCAATGTATCAACTTCCTATTCGGGGATAAGGGGAGGTATAGCCATTAACGGAATCCAAATTACCTTAATAATATTTACTGACGGGACCTTATAAAAGTAATAGAAAAAATAGCTCGTATTAAAAATATATATATGTATATAAAAAAAAAAAATTCACCTTGAAACCAAATTTTATTTTTACTCACATGGCACTCCGGGTGTCAGGAATGTCCCTGTTGCTTGGCAAACCGTCGGATGCTTCCTGGTTGAATTTATTCCTGGCGTACGGATCCTCGCCGGCCCTTAAACCACCCCTGGACACGTACCTGAAAGGGATGAAGAATTCATCAGTACAGTAAATACACCCACCTCAAAGTCCAACCAACGTTAACAAACTACTCACCCGTGCTCGTCGAAGTAATTCCAGGTGACCCGTGGGTCGGAACTCGGTGCCGGAAGTAGTTCGGACGACATAACAATGGCGGTACCATCTGGATCCATATAACCACCGGAACTTCCGGCAGACAGAGATAGGGACCCTGGTTCCTTGAGCCTCAGCGCTCTATTTTCATTCTGCAACAAGTAGAGCAAACATCACTCAAAGCACTCCCTGTTATTCACCCTTAAGGCGTATTTTCACAGAATATACGTATCCCCTCTACATATATCCCCCTCTACCCCCTTATAACTAATATTTTATTTACACCTAATATTTGCACACCTATTATGGATCCTAGAGACACTACCCACAGAGCCCACAGAGGTACGTTTCTATAATTACTATCCTGAGGTCGCAAAACAGGATCCCACATTCGGCAGGCTGAAACTTTTGTTGCTAAATCGTCCTCACGACCATATTGCCCACTTGTGTAAACCCCATCGGAGTATACAGGACGTTTCACAGGTCTGATCCAACCTTACCTGCATGCCTAACAAAGCCATCCATATACTTTGCCTCTTTCGCCTTGGAATACATAAAAATAGACCCTGGTGAATATTCCCCAGAATAAATTCAGACTCAATGTACATTCACCTTCGGCGCCGTAGTTGGCAGTACTGCTCGCCTCTGGTTAGCTCAACGACAAAAGAGCTAAAAGACACGATCTTATAGAGAGAAGCTATCGACATTTTCTCAGTACGCTTCGAGAGCATTGTTACCGGAACGCCGGGAGGTTTTACTGTGTTTTCAAATGCACCAATGCACTTCCGGGGTAACCGGGTATAAGCAGCGAAATTGCATAAAAGGTTCCAGAGGCAGGGGATCCCATTTACGCAAGGTAGTAACGCGGTATACTTGAAAAAGGCGACGAGGGGCAGGGTGAGGGAGGGGGGGGGGCAATACAAAGGTCGAATTGAAAATATCGGAAATCCTGGATTTTTGCTGCCAAGTATTGCTATACCTATGTATATATGTGACCACTTTACTGTACAGGGTGCCTGGATATTTTCCATATGTCGGATCGAAGTGACGTTTCAACATGTGGCAAAAAAAGTAGCGGAAAGTCAATTTCGTCTCTTTATGTCAGAAAAGAATTGGCTGACGCGATTTCACC